GATTTCAATATGAACTCGTGTGTTTTTCTATCGTCTGTAAATGCGTCAGGCATTTGGAAAGAGTGCACGGTAATGGTTGGAGCTCGATTAACCTCACCTTGTCGATCACCATGTTAGCAGACTGTTGTAACTTTACTCTAGCAGTTCGTTCATCTAAAGTTATTTTCAGAAAGATGCCATTTTTATTATTTGATATGAAACATGACCTGGTGCCACAACGAGGTCTTTTTGATCCTTGACCAAATCTCTAGTGAGGTGCAAATACCACGAGACAATAGCGGGCGGATGACTTCTGTGTAGAAGTGATGTTTCTTCCCTGAATCACCTTTTCCGTGCGTGCAATTTCTCGCGAATATCAACCACTTTTAGTTATTCATACGTCTGTTGAATTAAAGGTTATGAAACTTGAATGGTATGGTGTTTTAGAATCAATACTTTTCTTAAAGAAAAAAATTATAGTTTAACAAAGATTTTATCTTTCTCAGCTGACATTGTGCGTGTGTATTCACATNAAGAAATGCCTCTTCTTTTGTCACTTTTCATATTTGGTTTTCGCTTTTCGCCTTTTGTTCATATGAAGAAAAATAAAGATCTCTTTTTTCTTCGGCTGTCTTTTTTATTCCTGTGTCATTATCTGCGCTTATAAGCTAGTCACTTGCACATATGTATACAGTTATATATATATATATATAAATCAACATGATGAGTGAAAGAGAAATACACACGAAATATAGTACAAGTAAAAAACTGACAAAAGAGAAAAATTCTTTTAATTCAACATTTAACGTAAGTCTTGGTATAGTCGACAATTATGCCTTCAGAGACGTCACCACCACCATCACCGTCTGCAATAACTACTCGAACAACACCAACAGTTTCTTCCATTAGTTTCGATCATGCACCAACAAACACCAATGATCTAATGACCAATGGGGTTTCACGAGAAATTGATAGAATCTTAAAATTATTAACAGATAAACGAACGGCAATTGAACGAGAAAAGAAAAGATTGAGAAGAACTACAGTCGTCACAGAACGTCAAATTCCAACAACGGCTTCGCTTCAAGCACAAGCCACAGTGAGTATTCCTTTATTATGAGATATATTTCAATTGCCTTCAAATTCATCTTAAAGTTGAATACAAACATTACTTTAAAATGTTAAATTTTTTCAGACCTAGCTCGGCGAGCTCTATCCAACCATGTATAAATATCGCAAAAACAAACTCCGCTCGGATTTGAAAAATTTTAAGTTTATAGAGAAATTTTAAGTTTATATAATCGAAGTTTATAAATCGAAAACGGACTAAAATCGCAGAAAAATAACCAATAGCCGATTATTTTTTCGCAGTTTTGCTCAGTTTTGGATGCTTATATTTCTGTCACAGATAACACTAAAATGAATTACCCAATATTATTGTACAATATTATGGGCGACCAATAATATTAGTTCTAAAATATTCGGTGATCAATATTATCGGAACCCAACATATTGGGTATGCACTAATATTGAGAGCCAATATAATTGGATACCCAGTAATATTGTAGAATATCTTCAATAATGACTAGTATTGGCGCATGCCTACTCACTCTCATAGCTGAGCAAATATTTTTTTATTTGCATTATATTTGAATTTCTAGTTGCCAACAAGTTTAGTTTCAATGCCATTGCTACCAACAACTTTGTCGCCAATAACACGACAATTACCACCTTCGTTCTCGCCCAAAACACCTACAAGATCAACTATCACATTGGACATTCATACACCTTCTCGTTCACCTACATCAGCATTTTAATTTCAACTTCACCACCTTTAGTTTTGGGATCGAATACGCCATTAAGAATAATGAATTCATCAACAACACTAACAGTTCCCACAGCATCACAGACAAAAAATGCTGAAATGCACGAATTATCAATC